ACTCATTCGTAACTGTGACACCGTCACTAAGTTTACAAGACCAATAACCCTGTTACTAGACTCTAAAGAGCTTCTTCAATTTTTCCCCGAACTTCAGCCCACCAATGAGGCACTTTATTATTATTATAGACTGATCATGAATAAGACGGACCATATGGTCATCAATATGAATATAACCAAATGACAGAACACAAGGTTTACCCTCTCTCATTATTTACTGATTACTAGTCATGCACTTATGCTCCTACTCCTTTATTTCAGATTAAAAACCTCTCTGATGGTTAAAATTGCATCATTCTCCCTAAGTGTTATACCCATTTTTTCTATTACAAGTAGACAGATAACTCACTAATATAAATGCTGACCAACTATGACCGATCATAATAATCCCATAATATCTTAAATTCTTGCGAGTCACTCAATGTTTTGTTTTCTTACTCTGGAAATTTTACAACTCCTAACTCTCGCATACTCCTTGATTTTCTATTTATCCTTGCCATCTTCAAACCACATATAATCTAACCATTTTTTAACTTCTACCATTAGTTATCTTCATAGTAGTGTGACATACTGGATGGATATCTAACCCACAATACAGATGATTTAACCATCTCATTTGCTTGTAACATGGAACTAGTAGAGACAGTGTATCCCAACAAGGAGCTTAGATTAAATAAATATCCATATATACCACAAACACAGGGGAGCCTAAGATCACAAAAGGAGGGAGGGTGGTAATCGATCATATAAAATACCTCTTTAAATCTTGCTTGTGATGTTGAATCGGTTTTACTTCCTACCTAGTAATTCTATTACAAGCATAATCAGACAATTTGCCAAGGACGAAGCCCACTCATGAACCTATGAAATAGTATCAGAATTCTGTTTTCATAACTACCTTTTAAAACTACACATAATCCTCTACTTTCAGCTTCTTTTTGAACCACCTCCATTCATACAGTTCTTTATCCACTCATACCTTATTTATGCTTATTTTCGTTAACCTGTTAGAATGCTCTTGCTTGAAAAGTATCTTAATAAAAGAGAATTAGACCAAGTAATCATATCTTGACTATTCCTCCGCAAATGACTTAACTTCAATTGTCACGAAAATTGTCTACTCCGCAACTCAACCTTCACAAAGCGCACTGACTGTTATATTGAAAATACAAGTCTTACTAATATTATTTACATTCATATGTGAAGTGTTATCCCTCATAATCCTATGATCGATGTACCTTACAAAATATTAACCTAACTGCATCTGTAACAATTTGATCCTGCCTTTAAAAACTGGCATGCCTCATTTAACAGACTGATATTTAAGAAAAAATTAATTCTATTATTTAGTGAAATGCACTCATGTTAAGAGGTACCAGAAAGCACGACAAGCCATCGAGCGAAATAATTGGGTCCTCCTGGATTATTTTCGCAGTTCAGATCATTCAATGGATTTGACGTATGTGAGGCTATTTATGATGAGTAGTGATGACTCAAAAGCAACCAGATTAAACACGTAGTATAGCAACTAATCCAAGAGTGCTTGATGTTGCTGACCTTTTTGTCACTCGCTCGATTAAGAACAAATAAAAGAGTTTAGATAATTATGTGTTTGTCACTGTTTGAACAATCTAAAATGACCTTGGGACTACAGAAAATCGATAGCTTAAACGCATCGCACAATTCCGGAGTATTACCTTCGTTATTTGACAGTGGAACCAAAAAATTGGAAATTAGGCAGGCAGTGGCCGGAAGAAAATATATTAAAGGATAGTCCCTAGTTCAAGACTGATTGCAACGTTAAACGATGAAACAATATAAACAATTAGGTTCAGATAACGATTCAGCTTTTGCTTACGTTGCTAGCTAATGTCTAGTTACATCATTTAAAGGCCATATTTGCTAGAGTTTGATGTTTTAACAATTTTGTTTCGCTTGGACATGCAAATGTTATTAAAGCCTGTTAATCAATCGTCGTAAGCTAATAATTAATATAGATGACCACGCCTGCTAGGCTGAGCCATGCCATCCAATTGAATTGATCAATTCTTCCCGCCTTCCTAATTGTTGGCCTTCTCTCTGTGTTAAGTGTTGAATGTCTATTGTTTCAGTTATTTCATGTCCAGCATTGAGGATTGTGTGATTATGACCAGTACTACTGCATACTCTACAGTCCGAACTGCCTTCACTTCCGGACATCAAGCGTTCTACCTCTGACGTGCTTCGAACGTACTGAAATTTCCCCCGTCTGACGACTTTGACAGCATTAATACCACGTTCTGCTACATGCAACTTACAAGCAGTGTTGCATGTAGTGTCCACCACACTAGTTGTCTTAGACATTACGCTGATTTCTCATAGGAATGCTATAAAAAATTTTGAATATCACTGAAGAAGAGGAATTTCGATCGATAGACATAAGAAAGAGTAGTGAGACTATGATTTATAGGTGACCTTGAGCGACGCTTAAGTGACTTTGAGGGTATTTACCTACTTACTAGAGTTAAATGAGGGTTATAAAGCGGTTTGAAGAAAGAGGATTTTTATCACTAACTGATATCAGCTATAATGCCAAGACTCTATTAAGCTAAATGAGTGAATGGATTTCGCGCCAAAATCTAGGATCTGTTATCTAAAATCTGATTGATTCGTCCATAAATTATAGTCTTGCCAAAAGAGTGTCAATAAGAAGATCCCACTGTTGTTTCACGTCTACTGAATTGCATTTCCCTGACCAGAATATCTTTTTGAAGTTTGCTCACACAGCTTGTAACGAGTTTTAGGTAGATTTGATGTTAAATGATAGTTCATTGTCATCTGTCTTTGAGAATCTAAGTCGCATAGAAAACCTTAACGCTTGGATGACTAGATTAACCTAACTCCCTGACTTTTCTTATCGTTACATTCTCAGGTCACTGTGTAGGTAGTGAATCAACCTTTAAATATTACAGATAAGGGAAGAACAATGTTGAAAGATATATCAATAAGTAACAATCCAGTATTCAGTGAGCCACTTTACTTTGTTATCTTGGAGTAATGGTGTTAGACCGTACTCCCTAAGTTGCTACATTCATATTTGAATCATCAGAAATAGCTGTATAGAATTATAAGTCAAGGTATTCCTTGTGAGGTTAATGGGAAGTAGTTGAGGGAGCTGGCTTTATTGTTCAAATCAATCATCCGACTGATATCTATTTGGCTGAACAATTATTAACTTCGAGAACTTACGGGAATCCTCATTCTAGGATTCGAGGTCAGCAGCTCGTATGTCATGTGAGAGTCAGGCTACTTGGAGTACCTTAGATAGTGGTAAGGTGCAAGTGTCCTCAGGGTTTTGTAGCCATCTAAAATTCACGGGACACGTGAAAGATGTTAGTGGAAGGAGTTCAGAAGGTAATCTAGAATGAATAGTATTCATCCTTTAATATTACGTTACACAAGTATATGGATCCTACAACTGAATGCACTGTAACGATATTAACATCCAAAGATATGAAACAAAAGGACTTCAAACAGACGTAGCATCACATTTTAATCTAACACACTGAGCCTCAGATCTCAACATGGATTGAGTATGAAAGAACTTTGTTTATACACGCGGTACTCCATACTTATACGTTTTCGACTTACGTAACTAGTTCCCGGGTTTATGAGCACTAGTATGGATAGCAACCAACTAAGAGTAAGAATAATCGTTGACATGGAACACTTATTCTTATTAATAGATAGCAAACATTGCAGCCACCTCAATTTCTGAAATTTACAAAAACTCGACGGACTTAAAGATGTATGAACAGGCTATATCTATACTGAATGTAAAATGCTACATTCCCAAATTTATCGCTTATTTACAGAACTACAATTCTAAGGATCTTGAGATGTGGGTGGAAAGGAAGTTAAGCTCCATTTGGTCAAATGAAGTAAGTATATACTGTAGTAGGGATACTGATGCCTTTGTTAGCCTGAACATCTGTTAGTTAAAAAAACCCTGTTATGCACAGAGGGAATTAACAGGGTTTATGTTAAAGTGATCATAATACGAGGGAAAATGCCAAAGTTCTAAAGTGCGCTTGGTTTCATTATAGATGGACAGATCAGCATCCACTCTAATCTGTAGTTACAACACACATCACAATGAATAAGATGTTTGCAGGGCATAACGTGATTCTAACATCTAGTGATAAGTACATAGATACTTAGCACGACAGAATTGCTTCTCATCTAAGTATGTTTCTTTCTAGACTTCCGTACAGCTCATACACTTAGAACAACTTACTATAATACCTCAGTAGTTAAGTGAGTAACAACTGTTGAACCACTGAAAATGATCTAAGAACCATACATCTCCCAAAGTCCTCTAATACTTTACAAATTACAATTTTGCACCAGTAGCTTGTGTATGGTGAAAAAACTAACGATGTAAAAATAAATTGAAATGGAGATTAAAACATGATTGTAGCAGAAGAGGTAAGGCCTATGGCCGTACCAACCACCATTAATTTACAAAGCTGGATAACATAGATATGACAAGTTAAATATCAACTCACTCATATATGTTGTAACATTGTTTATATCATCTCATCTGACGATCGTATGCGGAGCATATCCCATACTGTTTTGATACCATTTAAATTACGGATTAATCGCTTGATTATTCCACTTAACCTATAACTAACTCGACATTCTAAAGCCCAACATTTTTCATCAAGTGTTTCAGGTTTAATTAAACGGTTCTTATTGATTAAACACATCCCGAAAATACAAATAAGGTCAATCTTAACATGGCTTAACTCTTGTGACTTGCTTTGAATATTAGCATAAAACGTAGTGTAGAACACATAGATAACAATTTCGAAGAAAAACATTACAAGAATTTTGATAGCTTCTAACCTTGGAAGTACTTTTTTATTTCAGTCAGTAAGGAAAAAATATGGGAAGAAGAAATTTCCAGGAAATATCTATCCCGATCTCGAAAAACGAATGAAATTTGAAAACATTGATGATTTTGATAAACTATTTTATTTGGTAAATGAAAATGAAGGTACAGAAGAATAAGTTTTATCAAGGAAAATTATATATACAGAACCTTATAATGTTATAATGCAGATCCGTTAATTGGCTGTAGGTAATAGTCCTAAAAGAAATAGAAAAGTTACAAAAAGTCAACGCTATTTTATTTCAATGAACATACAAAGTTGATGATGAAAGATAATGAAATCTGAGTTACATTGATACAAAATAGTTCTTAAGAGTGCAATTCCATTACACAAACTACAAAAAATATGGATTATAATCCGAAACAAAAATCTCACTTATACATTGGTACGTTCATATGTGTAGTTTCAGCCAGAGGAAACTTCAGGAGAAAATACTAGCACTTTTCTACATTGAATTCTCGAAAAGACAACTCTAAAAAAACAGTTTGATGGGAAATGACGAGCTGAGTTTGCTATTAGTTTTATTGTTTAAACAAATAAACATTGGAACAAGGAGGCACCAAATATATATACGTCACACAAATCAAATGATTTGTGTGAGGGCCGGGATACAGCCCGGGTGCCCAAACCGAAGCAGGTGGTTGTCTTAGCGGGCCACACCCCGAGCCTTCGACCTACAGGTCTAATCCACAAGGCAGGAGATGCAGTCCCATGGAAGCCGATGACCATTTGTTCCTTCAAGATCCCGGAGCCCATGTCCATCATTGGTTTAGAATCAGGGTTTTCAAACTCCCCTAGGTGGATCCTCCATATCCACCAACCCGGTTAGAGCGCCGAACATTCGCTTTTCGTCCTCTCAATTTCGTAAACAACACCCCCGTCACAAGAAAGCAGTGAGTACGACTTCCTTGGCAGTGACTGTATACACATAGCCATGTGAGAGCATTTAAAGAGGGGGAGCCGACTCTCCCCACTCTCGACCGTACCAGGGCATTTGGGGTCTACTAGACAGGAATATGCAAGATGAAATCAATACGCCACAACCCAGTACCAGAGAAAACAAATATTAAGCTTGTTCCATAAAATATAAAAATGATTGATATAGTTAAACCACAAAATATCAAAAGTACAATGAAAGTAACCGAGAAAAAGTTAGTATTTATCTACGTTAACTGCTTAAATCCCTTATGTTTGATTTCTTGTAATCCTGAATCGAGATTGACACGAACTAATCTAAGAAATGTAACAAAGACGACAGTCCTTTTTCTTTTATACGACTACACCCCTTCATTTTCAACAATTATGTCTTCCGAAAGTACTCCAATGGAATTTTAGTGTATAGATCTGTTAAATGTCAGTCAGTCAGCTACAACGTAGGACCAGGCACATATATGCATCGGTCCAGGTTGCCATACCTCGTTAGCACAGCAAGATGAACACCGGATTCATGGGAGTGGTTAGCTTAAAGGTGGTAATATATAGGAGAAAGATTGCATATAGGGATACAGTACCGGAATATAGAATTAGTTTGTAGAAAGAAAGATATGAAGCGATTTTAATCTCTTAGTTTAAGGGAAGACAGGGAGTGTATGCACCGACGCCATTGTGATCGATTCTGAGCCATGTCACCAAGAGTCTCCAACCATCGGTTACGAAAGTCACGCGGACCCCAACCAAGTAGTCTGCATCTACCAACATGGCTCAGACTAGAGGTTAGTGTCTTCAAGCACTGATGCCACGTTTTGGTTTGGCCGCCCCTTACTTTCTTCCAACCATCTCTAACACCCGTTAGCATTGCACGTCGTGGTAATCGGTGTTCAGGCATACGTAACACGTGGCCCAACCATCTCAGTCGATGAAGATTCACAACCTCATCAACTGATTTACCATCATTACCTAATACCCTGCGTCTAACCTCACTATGACTTACCCGATTATCCCAGCAGACGCCAGCAATATTTCTTAGGCATCTGTGGTCAAATACTAATAGCTTACGAGTGTCTTCTACTCTTAATGGCCATGTTTCGCTGCCGTAAATTAAAACAGAACGGACTGCCGCGCAGTATACTCGTCCTTTTATTGATAGACGGATATCTCGCCTTCGCCACAGGTGACGTAAGTTGGCAAAAGCCAAACGAGCTTTTCGAATCCGTGCTGAGATTTCGTCTGATACCAACCCATTAGGGTTGATCAGACTTCCAAGATAAGTGAAGTTGTCAACGCGTTCGACTACTTCATTCCCTATCATTAGTTCAGGTGTTAACGCAGGCCAGTCCTGAAGCAACAACTTGCATTTCGAGGGAGAGAAGCGGTTCCCAAACATTCTGGCATTGTTGCTCATTGCTACCAGAAGACTCTGCATTTTGTCAGCGTCTTCACCAAACAGGACTATGTCATCTGCGTATTCTAAATCGATAAGTGGACCTCCTGGATGGAGATCAATACCCAAGAACTCAGTCGACGAGAAAGTTATTTCCATCAGTAGATCTATGATGAAGTTAAACAGAAATGGAGGAAGTGGACAGCCTTGACGGACACCACTTGAGGTTGCAAAACTAGATGACAGTTCGCCATAAGCTCTCACTCGACTAGTAGTGTTCGAGTAAAGAGCCTTTACAAGGTTTATGTACTTCTGGGGTACACCTTTCAATGACAGACACTGTCACAAAATCTTGCGGTCTACCGAGTCAAATGCTGCTTTTAAGTCAAGAAAGACCACCATCGTCGGACGCCGATAAGTATGCCTGTGTTCTAGAACCTGACGAATGGTGAATATGTGGTCGATGCAGCCACGACCAGGTCTGAAGCCAGCTTGGTTTTCTCGTGTTTGCAGTTCACGAGTCTTAGTTAGGCGTCTGATTATTATTGAGGCTAGTATTTTAGATACTATATTTGTTAAACTAATCCCTCTGTGGTTGTCACAGGATGATTTTGACCCTTTCTTATATATTGGGACGATAAGTGATGGCGACCAGTCAGATGGAATAACATCTAACTCCCAGATCTTAGCTAAAATATTAGTCAACCTAACCGCTAAAATTGGACCACCATCCTCAAAGACTTCTGGAGCCAATCCATCTGGACCAGCTGCCCTTCCTCGTTTCAGATTAACTAAACGTCTGGACTGGGAATAGATGAGAGTATCGTCTTTTTCCGAAATAATCTCACTTACACTTGACTTATTAGTTCCAGTTTCTTTTATTAGTCTGTAGAGCTGTCTGTTAAATGTGACAGAAAACTAAAATACAATCATTGAAATCAACTTTAACCGAAACTTATAACGACTCAGTTCGTTCGATTTTCAACCGTATGAAACCCTATGCAGTTATCAAAGATGCAGCAATATATAATAGTTGGATAAATATATTCTTCATCATAAGATAAAAGATAACGGGGTAGTGGTTCATAGGTAATACATTTAACAGTCTTCTCGGGAAAACTACTATTTACCGTATTTATTTATCTGAAGTTTTACCCACAAAAGATTTACTACCTTAAAAAATTTTCTACTTACTGGAATGTAACAAAAAATGTATTTATTATTAACTGTACACGATACTCAATTTATTTGAAACTATGAAGCCCGACCTTGGTATTGATACCTAAACCTTAACTACAGGTTTTTACTAATACAAAAAGAATCTATAGTAGATAAATTACCATAGATACAAGCGTAGAAGAATGATACACATAAACAATAAGGAATTAGGTTTTTGAATGTATACAAAACTCCGTATACAGCATTTTGTTCTTTTTATTCTGTCAGCTTATTTAAATACGACTAAGAAAGTCACATTTTTGCAACCCGTTTTGAGTCCTACGAAGTCATTTCTGTATGCTTTTAAGTTAATGATTACACTAGAGGAACTTAACTTTATGAAGCCGTAAGGCTCACATCCCGGATTCCGTCAAACATCAATATTAATCAAAGATTAGTTCAACGAGATTTCTCTGAACTGACTACCGAAGATTAGGTTTCCCAACTAACATTTACCATGGGAATACAAATATTTTAAATATACCTATATTGATTGGGTAAATAAATTTTCTCGATTTAAAACAAATATGGTTTGATTATGCATACAAACTTATACTCGAAATATTTTCGCACGTTAAATTTATTTTTTAAATAAAAATGTTACTTCACTCTACGCCTCATGTAACTTATGATTTCTGTGTTACGTCGTGATAAGACGTACCCACTATGCATCCTAAGATCAAGTGAGTTATTTCAGCATGAAACAAAAAATTGATCAGAAAACAAACCTCTCTACGCCTAGCTTCCATGAGTTTGCGATTATTCTCTTCAAGTATTTTGTCCAATTCAGCTTGTTTACGTTTTTCCTCCTCCTGGAACAAGGCGAAACATTAAGAAACAGTTTCATATATAAAAAGGTGAACAAAATATCTTACATACATGTAACATAAATGTGAAACCATAATATTGACATTCAATCGACGTAAAACAATTGGGATTTTCTAGGAAAATCTATACTTCTATAGCAAACAGCTTAAATCAAATTATGAGCTTGCTCAAAAATCGAGAATAGTTAAGAACCACGAACAGTAAGTTCGAGCACAATACATTAAATATTATGAAGTCTTGTATCATAACGCAGTCTCAACAGATATTGTCACACTTTATATAAGTTTAAAAGATATGCAAAAGTACACCATACGACTGAGGGCTACTTGTTCCAATAATTGTGATCTAGTAAAAGCTAGGGTAACTATACCAAATGGTAATTTAACTACATCATAAGTATACTCCCATAAGCAATACTCTCATTTCCTACTAGGAAATCTGATTCACAATAAAAAACGACGAAATCCTGCAAGATAATGAGGAATGAGTCGACCACTATAAATATTTTGCAAATATCGAAAGTTGTAAGGCATATTCTCAAAACATACTTAAAGCGTTCAATAAGTTACTACCACTTTACGTCACAATGCGAGATATCTAACTGATAACTAAACAGAGAGTAGGGTGTGCAGGTATATATTTAATTACTCTAATAATACTAAATATAGCTTAGCTGTTGCGAATAAATCACGGTCAATAAAAAAGCCAAAAGCAAATGCCAAGTGAAAATCCAGTAAACGAAAAAGTGGCAGATGAAAATATGTTCGTGTAATAAAGATGACATGTAATTGAAATACAAGTAAATTTATAAGGCCCTGTGACCCTGTGGATTTTTATCCTTTAGAGAATACTTTTAGTGCTTACGTTGACTCTCTAACACAGAATAATGTCAGACGATAAATAACTCCAGTCTTTCCAAACCTAGATTACCATTATCTACATATTAACGACAACAGAAAAATCTCCATGTTTAAGTTTTAAACAATCGAGTTAATCTATATCAAATAAAACAATTAAAATGCTGAGCGACACATAAACAACAAACAATAACTGAACGTAACGACTTTGCATCGTAAGTACTGAACAAGTTATCAACTAACTCCAAAATGTTTACAAGGTTACCTCCATACGTCTCTGCTCTTCCAGCTTGCTTTGGTATTCACGTTCGATCTCATCTAGTTTATTTTTAACTCTTCGGTCAATTTCCGCTTGATATCTTCTTTCCAATTCAGCCTGGAGGTCTTCAGCCCTATCTACTAAAGCAGCTTCGAAAGCCTCTGTGACCCGAGCTTCTAACTGCCTGGCTGCTTCCGCCTCTCGTTCACGTTCCTCCTGCAACCGTCGTTCTCTGAATTATGGAGGATATTATAATCATGTTTCGTTAAAAAGTAATAAATATCAAAATGGTCTATTGCTGTAAAATGTAAACAACATTTTCATAGACTGACAGATAAGTACTAAAACGTGGAACCAAAAAGTATGAATATATAGTCAAGTTGCTCTGCTCTGAAACTGCAGGAAAAGAAACTGCGTAGATCTTATAAATTACTAAAAATGTTTGGGTCGGGAGAATGAATCAAGTGTAGACTAATATACAACTGAACGAATCTGTCTTAAACAAATAAAATTTCATCTATCATTTAGGATACTTGATTGCTGACTTTTATGGTAACAATCGAATGAGTTGTGGGCGCATATGATTTGGTGCCTCTTTGTACCAATATCTATGTGCTGAAATAATAATATATGGTAACAATAATTTCAAAGTCACAGGCTCGAGCCCCAGCAACCTTACTTCAGTTGTGACAGGAAAGTAGCAATATTAGTGCGCACACTAAATGTGGCTTAAAGACGCCAATCGATCAATCATAAAGAGACGATAGTATGAAGCCAACTACACAGGCATGGACTTTGTAAATGAGTACCATAATAACGGACAGTACAGCGTGAATCCATACACAACTCAAAATGGTGAATAGGTTCACAGACTGGTGTTGTCTTCAACTTCAGTAGAAATATAAAAAAAACTCGATTATCTGAATTGAAATATATAAACAACATTGTTTCCAATTATATCCCTATCAAGTTTAACAGTAATATATATATACATATATGATTGGTCATTTAATCTATTTCATTGTTATCATTGACTAACAAATTTCCTTGACTGACTAGAAAGCCTGGTGTCAGTAAGATTGATTATGATTACTAATGATGCGGAATTACTGTGAGGAATTCGAAAGCATGACAAGAAGCTAGCTCTAAAGGATTTAACTGAGCTTCACAATTAGTCAGACGGTAAGAGACTGACACATAACTCTGTAAAGTTCAAGATGATCTATTTAGAACAGAATGTCAGCAACATACACAGTTCGAAACACTATAGTTTTCTAGCGTCATTGGAGGAAGATTTGAGTTTCGGTTACATACAACCTCACATCTGATACCGTGACACGAATGAATCATAGGCCAATCTAGCGTATGTAGCACGTCTCAATTTTTGATAAGAATTTCCAATCAGTTTAAAACCGCCTTATACGACCGAATTTAGAGTGAAGAAATAACATTTTACAAGACCAATGCTTTGAGGTGCATTCAAGAGAAAATTAATCGGGGACATATAGTAAAATTTGGTTGTTTTCCTTTAGAATACTAGGAACTGGAAGACCATATTATCCTAACAAATAGTATCGGAAGCCATCATTGGTTTTTAAAACCTAGTCCCAACACTAACCCTAAGAAGAATCTTTAAAGGTTTGAATTTGAATGTAGGTAATCTACTCAAATTTGTTTTTTTGACGTTGCTGAACAAAAAGCACATATCTCTTTAGATATTTAACGAACTCACGTAGCGAACTGAGTCTTATTTTTACTCTCTCAACCTTTGCTGACTTTTCTCACATACATACGTTTTACCCGAAGGCAAAGGATGTTAGATTCTGGCAGATATATGGAACCTGGTTAAGAGCAAAAGGTTCTCTCAATTAGTTTGATGACAACTGCAACCTGACAGTCTTTACAAGAGACTAGTTTTCCTGTACAATGTGTAGACAACAGTTGAGGAAAACTTATTTATTTGTTTGGGGAGGACGTAGACAAAATGAAATCTTATGAATGCCTTAGTGATGTTCCATGAATCTTTGTGGTACACCCAACTATTGACATTTTGCTTTGAAACTAATTTACTTTAATGCTTAGTCTGATCATAGAAAACATAGTTTAAGTGAGTACACTGCACAACACACCGCTATCACCTTATAATCGTGAAATATGATATGTGAATGTACAGGACACATCCAAATCAACAGCACTCAATCATCCCTTCAAATTATTGATTATACATAAAGGAACTTTTAAATAAACATGAGACTGTATTGATTACTGAGTAAAAACAGAAACTCGATTATTAACGCCACAAACGTTCATCAATCAACGTAGTTAAGATATATTGCCCATACCTACTCGCTACATAGAGATGAACAATAATTTCACTTTTAATATTTCCAAGTGACTCAAGCTTGTTACAATCCTATATTTTTTTATTCGCTGGTCCCATTTATTGCTTATAAATTTTGAAGTATGGCACTTCATTTCATCTGGTTATTTTTTGTCATCATAACTTATTCTATTACTATGATAGTGAAATAGAAAGATAGTGCAAACCGAAATAAATGAATTGATATTCTGGTTTCGCAGCAAGACTTATAAGTTTACACAATAAAATAGAGCATAAAGCACTAAAATTTCCAATATACTAAAATCAAGCATTTAGTCTAATTTGTTAACCATACAGTGGTTAGGACGCCTAAAGCATATTTTCATAAGTGTGGTTAAAGCTAACAAAAGCCTTGAGTGGCAAGGCTTACATACGAAGCGTTGAGACCTTGTGAACCCAATACAGCATAAGTTTAAGAACAAAACAGTTACCTCTCTCGTTGCTCCAGAGCACGTTTTTCAGCTTCTTCTTTCCTTCGGGCTTCTTCTATTTTCCTATCTATTTCCTTCATTTTTGATTTCCGATTTCGCCTCTCTGCTTCACTATCGTAACTTGACACCGTCGAACTTCTTTTTCTGAAACAATACTAAAGAAAGTATACCGTCGGTTTACCTCCGTCTTCTATCATGACGATGACGGTCTCGATACGACCTTTCGTTCCCTCTTATGCGTATCCTATCGCGCTCTTTGTCACGATACCTGTCGCGCTCTTTGATTCTATCGCGCGAACGGCTTCTGTACCGTCTAGGTTTCGACTTGTGACCACTAGACAGTGATCTGCTACGCGAACGGCCCATTAACGTAGCGACAGAAAGGAGGTGGCCGCTATTATTTTAACCTTGAATATTTGCAGGCCTAATTGAAAGTTTACCTATGAATTATTATGAGTAATCTTTACGATAAAGAATGGGAACCTTCAAACTTCGAAAGTCTCAAAGAGAATAACATTACAGCGCTTAATTTGAAAATAGGAGCTGTTGCAGAATAAACTACCTGCTTCTAATTTCAGTTCCATGATTTTCTTGTTCTGAAGCTTGTGTTATTGCTTCTCGGTGCTTTCCTTAATGAATGTAACTCCATGTTTTGCGTTTACTGGACCGTTGACTCAGTTTTTCTTTTGTTTTCTTCTTTTCCCACCCACGCTTCTGTACATACACCCCGAATACACAAAGTACCTTCTGAATAGACATGAACGGCTACAGATTTGTGGTATATTCACACCAGAAAATTCAATTTTTCACTATCACGTAGCCCTAATCCCACTCTTGTGTTAATTTTAACTGCTGGTAATTGCTTTCTTTGATAAGTGTGAGTGCATCTCATGTGCTTACTGAATAGCCTGCTAATTTTGTTCTTTTCTCCTTTGGATTCCCTCATGTTCGATTCCATATACTCCTTCGGCTTACTGAATACCTACGAGACAGACGCGAATCTATCAAAGGCTAGACGTTACAGAGTTTTATCATAGTAGAAAATAAGATCCGAGCACGTCTTTAACAGTTGAAGAGATAATCAGTTATATGAAACTCTTTATGTACGTCCATTTTGACAACAGTTAATTGGAGCTTCAGTTTCTGGTACACAAACGTGTTTTTCTATATACCAATTTTCTGTATCTTGACCGGCTAAGTTCGTAAACCTTTGTCACGTTCTCTTTACTTTGTTATCACTATTAGACTATCTTGTTGCCACATCTCTGCATTTTATGGTTAATCTGGCTTATCCGTGAATGTTTTCCATTTTCGTGCTAAAATTTATGGGCGTTTTCGATACTGTTATTGCCAATAAACCTGTTAAAATAGTCACTGACCGTTATGTGGATAGTGACTCTTTAAAAAGTCTTTTCTCTCAGATAAAGTTTGGATGACTCTCAATCTGATGGAGAACTTCCCAAACAATGGCCCACTTTTTTTCAGATAACTGTAGATTTCATTATATCGTCTGCCCATGATGAAAAGGCCGTATTTATTGTTTTCGACAAGTTCGGGAATAAAAACCGTAGTTCAGACCATAGTTGAATCTACTTGCACGAAGTCTCAGACTTCCACGCAAATAAATCACAACTATTAGAATGTTCGTCTGATGTAAACATTGTGATTCAAAAAGTATTTAGATCCCCAGACATACACGATTAACAACGACATGTACACCTGTCTTTGCGAAAACACTATATTCATTTTGTGATATTCCGTCATAATGCCACACCGACATTCATAGTGATCAGTGAAAGTCACTATTACAACAGTCATAAATATTGCCCTTAAGTTTATCTTCTCTTGCAAAATGCGGTAAATCCGAAATTATAACAACGTGTTTTCAACAGAGGGTTAGTCACACATCAAGTGAATAAACTTTCGAGTCTCAATTAGGCACTCTAACAGATATGATTTTTACGAGCTTTAAATTTACAGAAGAACCACATTTATTTCCGCGATGAACGCTATCGTGTACATTAGAAGAGCTTTTAAAAAACAACTCCTTACATGAATAAAAGAAACCAGGACTAAGCTAAAGAAACCAAAATGCTGTCTTATCAGAAGAGGTCAAGTCTCCCCACCAAATACACTATTTACATGATTGTGTGATAAATAATTTTGGTGGAGTTTTGTTCTCTGAGCTGGATGGTTTGGTCGCCATGATATCTCCTCACTTATATGAATACACATGAACAACTGCGGACACTCATTCGATTGGAAAAATGTGGAAATCTTAGACAGAGGAAACTCCAAAAACACCAGAGAATCTTCGGAAGCCTGGAACTCAGGTCAATCAGCAATCAACAAACATATTGAAATCAATCCAATTTACCAACCAATCAGTAAAATCATGCACAAATGTAGGAACAAAAATCAAACCAATGGGAAACACAACCAAAACGAACAAGTAAACAATGACAAATTTAAGGTCAATAAGAACCAATCAACACCAAGGTGCACAGAACAAGCTTTGAAACACAAATGGAGAAATTCAAACACTTCATTTCTATTTGAAGTTTGTGCTGATGATGTCGTTCAGAAGAACGATGAAAGCTTCACGAGCAAACCATCCAACTCACAGAACAAAACTCCGACAAAATCATCCACCTGAGCTACAAATCATCTCCACCATCTCAAAATCATGTGAGCGTGTGATAAGTAAGCCTGAAAGATATAAACAAATAACGGGACGTACAGCTCTCGCTGCCGAATTCAACCACTAAACTTATGTTCATTGCCTAAAGAATCCATAAAGAAGAGTGCATACTACAATATTCACTACATATTCCACAATGGAATAACATATGGTTACCAAACTGTCATTTGTGAATTAGTAAATGGCAATGCGGATATGTAGTGGCATTGGACCATAACCACACTATCCTCAAAGCTGAATACGAGATTACTCGGAAAATAGGTATTCAATATTTAACGCGAAGAAATACCTAACGATGGAGAAGGCGCGAATAATGAATTGAATAGACTAGAGTTGATCGAACGGCATGGCTCGGCCATGCAGGCGTGGTCTCTGCTGAATGTTACCTTATATCTTCTTTTCATATTAAATATATTGTTCTTTCTCTAGCCTAACCTTGTTCTACATCATGTATTGGTAATTGATACGATACAGTGAGTTGGTGTAGTCGATGGTGTGACTTCCACGTAAGATCTTATAGATTAGGCAGTCATATCATGACAAATCTACAAATTTAGGATTAGGTCTATTATTAGAGCAGTACTAATATCATAGTAGACTTTAGTTCTACATTGGTGAGCCCAACTAAAGAAACGCAACCTATTATTGTTAATCCTTATTTCCACCTTAACCTTCTCAATCGGTTTTTATTTTTGTAAACCCAGTATTCGTATAGTCCTTTGAATAATGGTCACATATATTATCGTAATGTTATATCTATGAGTTCACATAACTTACTAGCTCAATCGATAATAAAAGTTGATCATCTATATCAACTAATTAGCTTTGATGATTCGTTAACAAGCTTTAATAGCATTTACCTGCTTCAGCGACATAGACTTGTTTAAACATCAAGCTCTAGCAAATATGACCTGTAAATAACGTAAATATACATTGACTAACAATGCAATCAAGGACTAAATAGTTATCTGGATCTAATTCTCAGTGTTCCTTCGCTTAACACCTCATCCTGTTTTAAACTATGCACTATCCTGTAAAATCTTTTCTTCCGACCACTGCCTGCCCAATTTCATATTCTCGAGTTCCATTGCCAAACAACAAGGATGACACTTTTCTAAAAAATACGGTGAGTTTCAGCCATAAGTTTTCTGCAATCATAAGTTCATTTTAGATGGCTCGTTCAATGGGGACCACACAATGATCTGAATCCATTCTGTTGTTCTGATCCGAGTGAGTGGCAAAAACGTCAACAACATCAAGCACCCCGGAATTAATTGCCATACTGCATGTTTTATTCTGGATACTTTTGGATCATTACTACTCCTCACGAATAGTGTTATATATGTCGTTCATTGAATAATCTAATTTTCAAAAATAATCCAGGCGAGTTCAACTATTTTAATGGATGATTTTTTGTACTTAACATGTATATGTTTTCCAGTTGTGTTTGCCACATATTTGTAAGTGTCTTTAGGCTAAATGCAGTAACTTCTTATGGAATGTTTATAACGCATCATATTCCTGCCTGAAGTTTCACAAGCAGTCTAAACTTTAAAATTATTTTCTGGTCATGTTCATTATTTTTAAATCGTCATATACGTCAACACCCATATGTTAACCTGGTTCATACATACGTTACACTATATCTCCATGTCTTCTAAATTTAGAAATCATCTGGATCGCCTTTAACACTTATCAATAAACCCATCATAGTCGTTGCTGCTAATCGTATTTGGGTTTATGGATTGGTTTACCATATTAACAGCCTAAAGTACGAACATAGTTTAGATGATAAGATTAAAAAGTTAGATACTATCAACTGCACTAGTAAAATTACTAAATCCTCAGGTAGTTGTTGGTTGAACAAACTTTTAAAATCAAAACTCCGTAGCCTACTAGAATTAACACTAAACAAATATTTCTAAATTGAAATTTATAATTAAATTAGGCGTCTCGGATTCTTTAACGTTATAAATTTCTGATAATTTTGAATCACCTAAAGCAAAAATGCCTATTTTTCCACTGGCCAATCTTCAATCAACACTATAACTAATTAAACATAATAGTTTCAGGATATCTTCATAAAGCATTGTCATGACTTGACAATCACGTAATATGATTGATAAAATTAATGAAACTTAACAAAATAGGTCAGCAAATTGACTTATGATTATAACTAGTGTTGTTTTTCTTCATTCACTACAGATGATTACAGTATGTTTCTCTATCAGTTGCTCATTCAGTAAATATCTCAAAACTTTGTCAGTCTAATTGATGGTTTAGCGACACAATCATGCATGCAAATAATCAGTATAAGCAGTCGAGCAAATATCCTGCAAACTGAAAACATCAATGTCGAATTTACCCCAACACTGACTAAGGTTCAAGCTATTATCATAGGCATGAGTTGGGAGTGCACTCCCCTTGGTTACAACTTATGTTCTCCCTGATAATCACATGAGCATCACTCACTATTAATCATCTTGTAAAAAATTATTTAGCCAAATACACCTTGCAGCACCACATCACTTAGTAATATGACACATAGGTTTAACTAATTTCAATAACGTATAACCACTATATCTCAATTAAATCGTGTTCCGCCTTATGATAAACTGCATACTTTCAACTAACTTGTATACCCAATCAGCCGGCAAGTATAGATATAAATAAATAGTCTGCCGCAGATCAGAACATTGAGTCTAGAGCATGCCTCTTAAGAATACACTAATGTTTAACGATTTGTTCCTAGCTATCTGTCCAAAATTCACATA